AATGAATGTGCTCACGTTTCTCAGCAACCGCTCAACCGATTTGGACAAACTCGGCGCCAAATGATAGGTCTTGGGGTCCCATTGAACGCTATTGAACGGTTTTGGAATCGGTGAACCGGTTCCGGAGATATGGCCGGACTAAGATCCGGTGAATATGGACCTTCACGTTGGATTTAACGGAAAACGTATTAAACCATCATGCGACACATCAAATTACTACAGAATTCAAAAATAAGATCAATGCAAGTCGTGTTAAGTATTCCAGACCACATTGGACACACTTGGACATGTTCCGGGTACCCCGGGGAAGTTGCTTGAATATGAATTGAATTAAAACCCATTAAATCACATTAAAATACGATGATAAGGTGATTGGTAGCCTCACCAAATAGACTACACCCGGATATATTCCGGGTACCCCCAGGCAGTGGCGTAGCGTCACTGGACGACACGGGGTGGGGGGCTTGGTCACTGATAATGACAATAAAATAAATAAACTTGAATAAGTAAGAAGGGTCTGATCACACCATAGGTGGATAAATTCGAGTTTTTTTTCTTTGGTTTGTTTTTTCCGTCGATCTTGTTTTCCGTGCTGAGCACCAATGCTACCGACGTACCAGGAAGGCAGCTCCCACACCTGGACCCTACACCTATCGACCCATCAACTCATGAACCGGGACCAACGGCTTTACTTCCCATCCGAAAGAAGGCGTGATCAGAGATGTTATGCCTCAGAACATCCCGGCGGTGCCGACTGGGATTGAACCCAGGCCTGCTGGGGTGAGAGGTAATCACGCTTACCACTACACCACCGGCGCCGTTATTTGCAAACTTAGCAGTGTGGTTTTAATAAGAAACTGGTTGAAAAGCGGTGAGCAGATAGTATCACTCTTAATTATAAATATAAGGTGCGGTTCCATTGCAGCATACCTCACTTCACTTCGGCAAACCCCCAAAAATCAGTCTTCCGACAGCGCCATACACACAGCTTTTTTAATTAAACTGGTGATGCGTATAACAGAAATTTTTCCAATATTCCGAAGTAGTGCTTCACCCTACAACCTTGTTTCTAAGATCATTCGTTCTCAAGCTATGTACTCTTATAGCATGTGATGTTCTGAAAACCTCGAAAAGTTGAACTGAAATTCGCTGAGATAAACTCTATTTTTTCCTTCCATCTAATATAAACTCTACCCAAGGGCAACATTTTATTATATTTTGATACTCTGATACCCTTTAGCCCACTCGCAAAGGAAATAAACGTAACATTTCACTAACCACCCTTTATTAGGACAAACCTGTAAGATAATAAAGAAATGACCCCAGTTCGAATTCTTTACCGTTTTTTCCCTCAAATTCGATACATTTTTTACGCTAGAGATTGCTGGGTTGCCTAAACAACAGACAGAAAATGTTCATAAATTATATTTAGCAAATCCACGACTAACCTCTATACAAGGGTACACAGCAAAAAAATAATTTTGATATCACATCAAAGTGGATGCACTACAATCATGTCGAAAATTTCATGTAATTTTTATGACCACATAAATAAACAAATGCAGTAAAAGCAGCGTAATGTCAGTTCATGCATTGTATTAATGATAATTTTGTCCTTTTTAGCAAGTAATATTACACCATATTTTCGACATGATTGTAGCATAGAGGTAACTCTAAGACCACTGCACAGCAAAAAAAAATGTAATATCGATCAATGTAATTCAAGCTGATGTATGAAATAATGATGTAATAGCAAAAAGCAGATACAATATTACATCAATGGATGTAATTTTGTTCGCAAAATCGATGTACATCGTACAACGTTATATTACACAACCGATGGATTGACCTGGTTGCAGCAGTTTGGATGTAATATTCAACAACTTTTTTTTCTGTGTGGGTCCCGAAGAAAATCATTATTATTTTTGGCTCACTCAGTACCAGAACAACGGTCCCAAGCAGTCCCAAGCTATTTCACTCACCCCTGCATGTTCTGCATGAATCCACACACCCCTGATGTTATCTGTCAAACTTTCATAGCGAATCAAAACAAACATAGTGTAGTAATAGAATTTCAACTAGAATAGGGTACGTTAATCGTTTGCTTGGGACCAATAGGCTACTAAAGTGGTGAGCCAATTTAAAATCGTTAGTTTCGTATTGATTGTTGATTGTAGTGCATCCACTTTGACGTGATATCAAAATTATTTTTTTGCTGTGTGTTTAAAAATATATATTTTGCTCTACCCTGCTCAATCGATTATAATTTCTGAGTATTCTCCAGAAATTTGAACCCATTTGGTTGCGATCTCATACTGCTCTTTGATTTTTATAAGGAAATTATTACGAGAAAATTTGAGAAAGTTCTATCAAAAAGTAGTCTCCAAATTTTACATAAGAAAAGATAGTAGGCATACCCGTATATCATTTTGGAAAAAGGCTAAAACGAAGAAAATAAATCAAAATCTTTTTTTCCCCTTGTAATTGCCATATAAACCTCGAAGAGCTATTGTAGTATGAAATTACAAACCAGTCAAAGGTCAAACTCAAACGCAAAAGAATAATCTGGACGGACCTGCTTTGGTGGAGGTGGAGCAAAATCTGCAAAATCATTGCAGGGGTTTCTTTCCAAACACTTCTATGGCCACTAGAGGCCCTACGGGCACCAACTCCGGGACAATCCATCGGATGATCACAAAATTATGATAAACAGTCTCCTGCTGTAAAATTCCTGCTATAAATTCATGAATTTTGATACCCATATTGCAGGGGTTTCTTCCCAAACACTTCTATGGACACTAGAGGTCATACGGGAATCTACTCCGGAATGGCCGTCCCGGAGACAATCCATCGGATGATCACAAAATTATGATAAACAGTCTCCTGCTGTAAATTCATGAATTTTGATACCCATATTGTAGCGATTTCTTCCCAAACACTTCTATGGCCACTAGAGGCCCTACGAGAACCTGCGCCGGAATGGCCGTTCCGGGGAGAAACCTTAAACTGGTCCTCAAGTAAGCTGAAATTGTTTCTTGAAGGAGATTCTACTTTGATATCGATTCCTTCAAAATTCTAGCAAAAGGCAAGAAAATGCTTAGTTCTGAAACAATCTGGATTTCTTAGAACCAGACTATTCCAAATGGACATTGTTGGCAATGTCCAGAAAGAACACAAGTTTCTGAATCCTATGGTGCTAAATGATTCAAAATCGGTCAAATTTGGCCGTAATAGCAACCAGAGACTTTAAATATTAAAAATTAGATCGATTGGTTTGAAAACAGCCGAGTTATAGCGGTGAATATAAAATATTTCCTACCGCGTCTATCGAGAGACTCGTACAGCATAGCTCACCATTGGAAAAGAGAAATGAAAACAAAATACGCAGCATACTCCCGGTCATTCTGCAGCTTCAACTTTCAACATGCACGATAAGCGGGAGAATGAATGAATTGAAAAATCGGCTTCCACCGAGCTGCTGCAGCAAACAGCACACAAGCAATCGACAAAAGGCAGAACGACTGCGCCATTTTGCCAGTCAAACCAACGTGCTTGCTTCGCACATTGAATGCAGAAAACGTACGCGATCACGCAGTCACAGTCGATATGCGATCCCCTTTCAAGCCCTGATTGGGACCATATCGAGTCTGTTGATGCTGACAAATAAATAAATTCAACGGTATGCCCCGAGAAACACTACATTTGTATGGATTCCGGGTCACTGCGGCATTCATGGTAATACGGAGGCGGATCATCTAGCGGCTTCTGGAAGACAAGCCCAACTGTTTACCAAGGAGGTTCCATCGGGGGACCTGAAAAAATGCCAACAAAATCTGGGACTTATGGTCACATACATGGTCCCAATCAACAAGCATTTTACTGTAGCATGTTATAACACCCCAGTCTGGCCAATGTTTAACCCAAAACGGAACCATTTCGGAAGCAATACAAAAAACCTACTCGGTTTTTATCAAGAGATATCAAGAAAGTTTATTCATCATCAATCAGATTTAACCGTAACACTTGTTTGTAGGTTAGTTTATTTGTTTACTATTTCCGTACTGTGTTTTCTTCTTGTATGTAGTGTTGAATGCGCTGTGTAATGGGTAATAGTGTATTGATTTATTTGTTTCTTGAATTCTGTTCAGTGTTCAGTTTCGTTCTGTAATGCTTTTCTTAATGAATATTCACCTAGAGATTCTAAAACATACATCATGCAATGTATACAGACAAGAAAGTTTTAGCTTATTATTCAGAGAGTGAGACAACAACAGTGGAAAGTCTAGCATTTTATCTACACGGCCAATGAGAGTAGCTCAAAGTTGCAACAAGTGGGGTTACTCAGTGAATGAGTGAAATGTTGCTCAATTTTCCACCAAAAACGTCTTGAATATGGCGAAAATCGAGAGATATTTCACTCAGTATACTCCTAGAGTGAGCATAATTTTGATCGATTTCCTCATAGTCCCGGAAATATAGAGAAAATTTCACTCACTCACTGCGTAGCCCTACTTTTTGCAATTTTGAGTTAAACTCGACTCAGTTACTGAGGGTACTCTCATCGGCTGTGAAACTTATACAATGAAAGGAAAACTGAAGGATCACTTAAAACACAGACATTTTCTTACAATTGAATTTAATTTTCTTTGCCCGAATCAGTTCCACATTTGATATTAAAATTTTACAACCTGCCACGACTAAACTAAAACTTTGCATCGCCAATTACAGCTTTTTGTTTTGCTTTGCTTGCTTATAACTACTACCAATACTCAAGAGAATTTCGTTTACTTTAAACTAATTTACAGATTGTTTCCACTTATCTGACGTCTGCATTTAATGTCTCTTCACAACAATATGTGTTTGTGTCCGTGTCTGTGTGTGTGTTTGTATGTGTAACATCCACTAGAAAAAAAAAGGATTCTTTTCGAATCTCCAAATCAAACCGAAAGGTAGACCGACGGCAACGAGGCGTTTCATTCTAAGGTAAGTAAGGATGGACGTTTATTTTTTTTTTTGTTTTTTTTTTACTGTTGCACACCGAGATGCTGTTTTTTTGTTTTTACTTTTTTACGATTTTGAGTGGTAAACATTCACATCTTTTTTCTTTGTATTTGTTAAGAGCACTTTCCATCCATTTCCTCCACATTAGATTTGTATATGTTTGGGTTCATGCGTTTATATGTATGTATGTTAGTGTGTTTGTGTGTATTGTTTAACTGCATTTAATCACTTCCCACGCATTCTAAAAGATAGGATATTCATCAGACTTTTAGTGTAACTCTTCTTATTTGCTTTTCCTCGTTTTCATATAGCACGTATTTTCAATGTTTCCTCGTCAATGTTCTTTAAATTTTAAAATATATTTTTGTTAAGCTGGTTCTTTGCCTATCCTTCAATCTTGCGTTTGCATTCTATATAAGGTATTCGAACATAGCTGCGATCAAAACAGCCATCAAGCAAACAGTTAAGGAGATTTTCGTGTTTCCTGCGTCAACTTATTTACAGAATGGTGATTTTGGAGCTCGCTTCTCACATTTAATGCTACAAATCTACCTAAGTAGAATTTTTGCGTAGTTTTGGTTTATGACACAAAGTTAGTTCTTTCGGTAAATGCTGATTGTTACTTTTTTTTTATCTGTTCTAGTTGTTTGTTTCTCCGTGAGATGAAATTATTTTTTTTTTCATTCCAAACAAAGGTAGATTAATCTCACTGGATTCGTTTGCAAGGCAGAGTGGAGAACGAAGGAGATTTAAAACGATTTTGAACCAGTCTAATTTGCTCATTCTTTTTACCAATGAAGAATTCCATTCGAAGACTTGCCTCTTCGAGAAGATATTTGAAAAACGAATCAGTTGCTGAAGTTAGCACGGCTTCCATTTACATGCTTAAGCGCGTGTGCAGAAAGACTGAAAATAGAGCGAGAGAACGGTAGGTACATATACTCTTTGCACGTTTATTTTCGATCAGTAAAAATCTAAAGATTCCTCGAAGCGCCTATAACTATCGTCTTATTTAACCCCGCTGTCACGGAACGAGATTCTTCAGTTACAAACTCTTCTTCCTCTTTTTGAGCAAATCTTGTTGAAGAGAAATCGAAAATTAAAAAAAAGTAAGTAGTTAGATCAATTCGATAGAAGTAAGTAGGTAAAATTAAAAGCAAAAGGATAAATTCACATCAGCTGGGTACTGAACTTTGTCCTCGGGGGAAAAAAAAAATCATCATTTTTGGTCTAATCGAGAGGTGAAGCAGAAATACCTCTTTACAGTGTGTGGTAGTTCCGTTCGGTGCGGGCCTTGTAGAACTTCCACAGGACCAGAGCGATTGCGAGGGATCCGTACGCCAGGATCATTCCGCCAAAGAACGAATAACCGTCGAAGCGCTTGCAGTGGGGCACAGGAGTGGGAGCCGGCGAAGGCGTCGGAGCTGGGGTTGGGGTTGGGGTCGGAGTCGGGGATGGGGCCGGGGTGGTGCTGGTAGTTGTTGTGTTGTGGTTGTCCGGAGTGGGCGACGGCGTGGGCGGGGCGGTGGTAGTGGTGGTGGTTGTGGTATTGTCCGGAATCGGTGTGACGGTCGTCGAAGTGGTTGTAGAGGCAGGCGTGGTGCTGGTGGTTGTCGTCGAACTGGTAGTGTTGATGTCCGCGGCCTATAATGATGGATGGGGTGAAGTATAGTGAAATTTAATCGATATGAGTTATTTGATTTTGAGGACCACTTCAAGGAGAATTCCCAGGTGATTCTGAGGAGAATTGTATCGGCATTGTGAGGAATCATTAAAAAGGAATACTGAAGACAGAAGAAAATGTCAAGGAAGTTCCGGAAGGTGCTCCGGAAGAAAAATACTAAAACACTCCTCCGGAAGGTTCGAGAGAATCCGGAGTTGAAGGAACTGGGAGAGAACGTGGTGAAAACCAGGCGCCTCCAGAAAGGCGAGATGCACTTAATAAGGATCCTACGATCAAGAGTTCAGCCTTTAAGGAGTTCGTCGAAAAGTCTCTTGGCGAAGGGGCGAGCGTAAGAGCTCTATCGCAGGAGATAGTGGTCGAGTGCAGAGATCTGAGAAGTGCGATGCATGCGACATGCAAACGGCGGTGCTATGGCTTTCGACAGTTGCAGCGAACAACCTGTTCGAGACGGGCAAGGTCAAGGTTGGCTGGTCAGTGTGCTCGCTAAAAGCCACTCCTCGGGTTACCAAGCAACTGGAGCGATGCTTCAAGTGCATGGGTTTCGGTCGCCAGCCGAGGAGCTGCAATGACCCTGACAGATCTGATCTGTGCAGGAAATGCGGGGAGAAAGGTCGCATTGCACTATGATGTACGAAGCTACCGAGGTGCATGCTCTGCAAATGGAGGTAACCCAAATAAACCTCAATCATTGCGTCACTGCACAGCAACTGTTATGGCAGTCGACAACAGAAACAAGTGCGACGTTGCAATCATTGCGGAACCGTATCGAGTCCCTCTCGATAACGGTAACTGGGTGGTGGATAGAGCTGGGATGGCTGCAATACAAGTTATGAACAGATACCTCATTCAAGAAATGGTTGCGAGCTTCTACGAAGGTTTCGTGATCGCCAAAATTAACGGAATCTACATATGTAGTTGCTACGCACCCCCCAGATGGACGATGGTCAGACTAGATTCTGCCTGAAAAAATAGGTTTCAATTTGACATTAACGTGACGTATAACTGGCTCTGATTACCCAACGAAAGAGACAGACAACATTTAAAAAACGTAATGTAAAGTGAGGATTAGATCGGGGCTGTGGTGAGGACTGGGTGCGCGAACAAGTTAGAGCTCCACGGTAGGAGACAGTGCCCGGTCCGGCGAAGAAATCCCGACGGCAGAAAAAATAGAAAGGTGAGGAAAACACGATCAGCGCAGCCACCGACGGGGGGCTAGATTTGATCATACCTCTTTCAGAAAGGCGATCAGCGCAGCCAACGTCGAGGGGTCGTAACCAAGCAGATTACTGACGTTCTCCGGGAGTCCATGTTGTTCGCGTAGCTTCTGGAACTCCGGGCAGACACACAGCACGTGTTCCACCGAGGCGGGGATGCTGCAAATTGAACAAACCTTGCGGAAAGGTGTCCCACCGAAATTATAGGAAATCCTCGCATGACCGGTCCGAAGTCTTGAGATGATCCGCTGGTCCTTGTACTTTTGACTGTCCGACCAGGAGCGTACGGTTTCCTTGATCTTCCTCAGGAAAGTGGTCCGTGACTGGAACCATTCCTGCTGCCAGGCTTCCATAATAGTATTCACAATCCACCGCAGTGTCCGGGGATCCACGTAAAGACGGTTGAAGGTGGGGCGTACCGTGTAATGGCTTGTATCCAGGGGTGACTCGGGGTTTCGGCTTCCAGCGCTTGGATGACGCTGTGTGAGTTAGTTAACACGAGGATCGGTTGATCTGCCGGAGTGATGGCTGCGTCTAGAATAGCTGCGGCTTCAGCGGAAAAGACGGAACACTCCTCCGGTAGACTTTGACTCGTTGCAGTGTTCGGTCCTGCTACTCCAAGTTCAACTCCAGCCCGTTAGAGATGAACTAGCCTAAGGCTAAAAATCTCTTAAATAAAGAATTAAAAAAAAAAAAAAACTCCAGCCCGCAACCGCGATCCGTTCGTAAAGCGATGAACGTGCCCGGATAAACCGACCCGAGAAGCTCAAAGCTACAGAGTTATCTCCGGCTTGGAATCCACTCTTAATCCGCTTATCTATTTTGACGACGTTGGCGATCAACCAACTCTTCTCTCCATGCCAGTGGACCCTGGCCACCTGGGGGGGAAGGTCACGGTTGGCTGCAGTGCGGAGGGCTCTGTTCCCCTCGTTGAGGAGAAAGACGCTTTCGTTCCCGGATGTCTTAGCAGCGAGGGCAGCGGCTTTCATAGCAATGGCTGCAGCAGATTGATAGCGGAAAGGGAGGATTCCGATATCCACACATGCGGCTCCTGCAGGCGTGGAAGGGATAAAACCGGATACGATGCGCCCGTAGGTATTGTATACCGGAGCGAGGATGTGGTTGAGCTTCTCGGTGGCTAAGCAGGTTATTTCGAGGCCGTAGAAAAGTCGACTGTCGATAACAGCCCGAGCGACACGAAGGCGGATCTCACGGTTGCTGGAGCGATCCGGATGGGAGATTGTCCTTACTATGTTTACTATAGGGCTGATCGGACGAAGACCAGTAGTAATCGGAGGAGACTTCAAATTTTGGGCAGAGGAGTTGGGAAGTAGATGTTTCATTGCAAGAGGACTCAGTCTGCTGGAAGTTATGCCGCGGATACTACACTTGTATGACAAACTATGAACATGAGCGTTATTTGAATATTACATTATAAGCCCATCCGAAAACTATACAAGTGAACCTGCGACCGGAAGTGAAAGACGGAGGCTCTTTTCGTTGAAGCACTCCGCGTGGACAGGAGCCCCGCAAATTTGAACGCGGACGAGCTTAGTCCAAGGAAACTGGAGCCAAACAACAGACGGCGTCCAGCTTACAGGTGGAACCCTCCGCGATAGTTGTCTCAGAACCAGAAGACGTGTTCAGAGAGCAAGAACAGAAGCAGATAGAGAGGAACGTAGAGGAGTGTTCCGAGCGACCAGGACCGCACTTAAACGAGAGAAAAGGCAGACCAAGTCAAACTGTTTTAAGGAGCTGGTTCGAGACGCTGATGTCAACCCCTGGGGCGACGCATACCGAGTCGTGAAGGCGAAAATCAGAGGTCCAACGATGCCCGCTGAGAAATGTGCCAAGAGAAAGTGAAAGTCATCGTGGATGAACTTTTCCCGAAGCACGACCCAACGACCTGGCCACCTACACCGTACGATGAGGGAGAGGACTGAAGGTGAAGAAAGCTTCCGGTCCGAATGGAATCTCCAACGTGGCGTTGTAAGCGGCGATCCAGGCGTCCCCGGTTATGTTCAGGATGGTGCTGCAGAAATGCCTGGACGAGGATCACTTCCCTGGCCGAAACCAGGAAAACCGCTGGGAGGAGGTCATCCTAATCAGGCTGACGAAATGTACGGATTGTCGGAGAGGCAGTTCGGATTCCGGAAAGCGAGATCAACGGTGGATACAATGCGGACAACGGTCGAGAGAGCCGAAAAGGTGTCCAAACAGAAGAGGAGAGGAGATCGATATTGCGCCGTGATTGACGACCATTTTCCAGAAGTTTCCTAGAGTATTAAAACAACCTAGACTTCCAAGGTTAAATACTTTCCTTTGACATTGGATAATAGCTTTTTGGACATCACTAAAATAAATCCCGGTTGAGGGTTGCTTCCATAAAAGCAAGTCATCAATAGCAACACCTATAGAATACCTATAACCTCCTATAACCATCCCCAACACCGCACAATGCCGCGTTTAGTAATGTGGTAGAAACTCTTTCAAGACTATGGGATTCCCCGAATAAAACGAGTTTGGTTCAAATAATAGCCTACCTTCGTTGTCGTCGTTATTTCCGTGGTGCTGGTGGTTGTGGGCGACGGGGTTGTAGTATTGGCATCCGGAGCTAGCGTCGATGTTTCCGGAATCACCGGCAATTCTGTGAACGAAAATAGCAGCAGATTGTGGTCATTGTTTGCGGGACGAACTTTCTTTCAGATCAAGCAAAAGGCCAAGGAGAAATTTTCTTCCCCACACAAAAGAGTGAAGGAATAATGCAATCAATGCAACTCAGTCGGTAATTGATTCCAATTGCCTTCAATACGCTGCGAAGCAGTGTGCATTTGTCACACACAAAGTATCGTTATCAGTACGCATTTATAATATGGTAATTGAGTTATTCAGTAAGTTAAAGCATAACTTACTGACTAGATTCAACTGGATTCGACTCCGCTTTATCTCAGTCTAAGGTCGGTTTCCCGATCGCATTTCTGTCAGCAGCTGCCAAACTGGACAGCATACAAATTATAAAATTTCAATTACCATTTCTAATTGAATGCATCGCCAGTAATCTCATCGCGGCCCGATGAACCGAAAAATCATAAATCAGCACTTTGGCTTTGCCTCGTCTAATAACAAGGGACTCAGTGTCGATTACAAATGCAAAACACTGATAAAGTTTAGTGGCAAATAATGCTTATACGGCTGGAACCGTGAATTACACTTGTACACAAAGATGAGGCAGCGTGTAGTGGTAAGTATGTAGTTTGTTGAATGCAATTAGAGACGAATGGAGCCTTCCGAAGTGGCTGCCTGCCACTATCGTCGACGTCGGTGCATACATCTACCAATAAACCAACTCATACAAAAATCGACTGTTCAGCCGTGGATGATTCATGCATTATTTTCCTACCTCCTTGAATGCGAATGATGGAAATTACCCTTGACATAATGCAATGCCTTGCCGAATGGAAACCCGATAAACTTACCATCGGCACCGTTCTGCTGTCCGCTGGTGTTGACCATCAGGCAGGAAACCGCTATCACGGCAAACGCCAGCACCACATTCCGCAACTGTGACGGGGACATTTCTCCGAATCGGCTTTTTCTGCTGTCGTGTGTTGATAGGCCGGAGGGAGGAAATCGATCGATCGGCAGCTGGCGCTGGGAACTTGGAATCCGGACAACAAAGCGAGCAAACGTGAACGGCAGGTTCTGCACCGAAACTACACACTGCTGCTGAACGTGGACAGGTCGATGATTCCGATCCGAAAACCAGGAAATTAAGATGGAACGTAATTACCGACAGAGATTGTTCGTTGCGCTGCGCTGTTTTTCGTCTGGTGCGAGCACTTTTTCTTCGTCTTTTGATGTGATGGAGCTTCTTTTCTTTGCACTCACCATCAACTTCCACACGGAATGGCTTGAGCTTGACTTTTGCTGCGTACACACACACACGACCTCTCGCTTGCTCTGGAACGTACAAGCGGATACGTGTTGTTTTCGGCCTGAATGAGTGCCTTGCACGATGCTTTGCGCTTTGACGTCTCTGATGATAGCGGTACCCCACACGCGAGAATGAAACGGGCTCTATCGGAGGCATTACTCCCGTTGGAAAGAGTGAGAGAGAGAGACATTCAAAATGCTTCCTGCAGTGTTCTGATGTGTGCGAGTGGTGTCCGGCGAGGAAAAGAAACCGTGAGAGGTGAGAAAATGAGAGGTTGTCGGTAAAGAAGGTCTCTCTGATTGATTCTGATTTAATGGGACACGTTTCTGGAGGGCTTGCATTCAGGGCTATATTCAGCGTTGACAGTGGATTTTAGATTTTTTGTTCGTCGGGATTTAATTTGACTTCAGATTTAGAAACATTCAATTGTCTATTTTTTCCACATGGGACTGATATACGATTATAGGCAGTGTAGTTCTATGAGTTTTCACCCCAAGAAAGACTCTAGGTAACCTTATACCATAGAGGTAACTCTAAGACCAGAAGGTCCCGAAGAAACGAGCTCAACTTTTTGGCTCAGCTCAGGTACTATCTCCGGTCCCAAGCTAATCGATGCAACCCTCGAAACATAGGAAAATCCACGAACCCCTCTATTTATCTGTCAAACATTCATAAGGCCCACGCACATTAGATCCGGATCGGACGCGTTGCGGCAGTGACAGATAAATCTATTGTCTAACTGTCAAATTTACGTCAACGCATCGCAAACCTTATACCAACAATCAATACGAAACTATTGATTTTAAATTGGCTTACTACTTGACTAGCCTATTAAACTTCCTCCATTGCAATCTTCTCAGAAGCTTTGCAATACCTTACTTATACAACAACAGAGTGTTCTTCCGTTCTGACAGTTATTTAACGTATTCTCATCGATTTGAAAAAAAAAAATGTGGTCGGTTCAGGGGTCGTTTTTATTTTGACAGGTATTTTAACTATTTTCCGAGGGGGAGGGGCTCTATCTACGCTGCAGGAAAGATTGTGTTGTGCTGTGGCTAGCTGCTTACCGCGAGGCAATTAATTTAAAACCAAAACCATAAGATAACCACATAATTGAATCTCGTTTGCATCGAATTCGCAAATCGGTTTATTTTTATATTGTTTGATTTGGTTGAAAATTTACCGAAACGTTCCATATGACCGACAATGCCATTTTGCATCTTCATATCGCCATTTTGAATCCAGCCTTATTTTTGAAAAGGGCATATAACAATATCAAGCTTATCTTCAGAAATGTTTTACTCGAAAACTGTTTGCCTGATCGGTTTGGTGGCTTGCGCAATATTGCAGATAATAGATGAGACTATTTGAAAAAAAATATGCACTCTAAAAAAAATTACCCAACTTTTTTTTAAATTTCAAATAAAATCTTAAAATTAATTTTTCTCAAAAAGGATTTTTTTGTTTTTTTTTTTTTTATTTGTTGATATGTTTTAGAGGACAAAAAACGCCATCTATTACACTATAGGTCAAGATGGAGAAATGATGGACAAAAAAGTTATGAGTTTTTTTAAACTCAAGTTTTTGGAAAAATTTCCAAAACTTGGTCCAATTTACTTTTTCGATTTTATGTAATGAATGTTCACCAAATATACAATAAAAAAGGCCCACAAGTATTTTTTTTCTAAATCTCACCGTTTTCGAGATGTAGCGGTTTGAAAATGGATATTTTTTAAATGTTGGTAGTTTTTGGCCATTTTTAAATGTATTTCGCGGTTCTCCACTTTCGAAAATATTTTTTTTCGGAAAGATCCGATAATTTTACAATAAAAATACAAATTTTAAATTTTAAAAATATCTACTTTAAAACCGCTACATCTCGAAAAAGGTGTGATTTAGCAAAATTTTACTCAGGTGCCTTTTTTATTGTAAATTTGGTGTGCTTTTATTATATAAAGCCAAAACAGTAATTGGACCAAGTTTTGGACATTTTTCCAAAAACTTTAATTTATTAAAAATTTATTACTTTTTTGTCCATCATTTTTCCATCTTGAACTATAGTGCAATAGATGGCATTTTTTGTCTCCTAAAACATAACAACAAATAAAAAATAAAAGAAATCAATTTTTGAGAAAAAATAATATTTTTTTTTGGGTATCAAGCTGGAGCTGCGTGACAGCTTAATTTTCAAGACTTGACCCATTTGAATAAATTTTGCTTCTATGTTTGACAATACAGCAGAAGGACTAGCCTATGTTGGCCGCTTGAACACTGGATTCCGTAGGTATTGTTTCAAGATAGTTATAGAAAAAATGCTGTGACGTGTGCGCGTAGATGCATCCGCGTAGTAAACCGATTGAATAAGTAAATCCGTTTCGAACGAAATATCTAAATTATGTAAGTTACGAAAGCCGTGCGAAACAACCGAAGCGAGAAAAAAGGCTTATTATCATTTAAAGAGTGTCACCAAAATAAATGTGATAGCCTATGTTGGCAAGTTGATTAATTTTGGTTTCCTCCCTAGGTATTCTACTTATTTACTATTGAGCTTTGTATCAAATTAGTTAATTTAAAGAACGTATCAATCATTTCAAGATTTCGCGACCGCACCGAACAAATTATATAAGCTTAAAAGCGTTTGACAAGCTCTACCGAATTGCGTATCATTTCTGCGTAAGCTCCGTAGACGTAGACGCGTTGAATCCGAGAGTCGGCAAAGGTTTAACCTGTACCAACACCGCTTAAGGAACGACCTCGAGTCAGTAAAACCGTTTAGAGCTAAACATCTAAATTACGTAAAGCAAACCCCACACGCATCAATATATTGACGCGAAGGGGAATTATTGACAATAATATTGATAATGTGAATTCAGAAGTATTAAAACAGCAAAAAAGGTTATCTTCCATTTAATTCCACTTAATTTTGGTATCCATGACAGATACGTATTTCGACTACAATGTGCAGTCTTCATCAGTGTCATTCCCACTAAAGAACTTATCAAAATCTAACCCCCTTAAGTACACATCTCCTAGGTAAAAAGGTCAAGATCATAGGTATAAAACACACAACACATTGTAGTTTCATTTTTATACCTATGATCTTGACCTTTTTACCTAGGAGATGAGTACTTAAGGGGGTTAGATTTTGATAAGTTCTTTAGTGGGAATGACACTGATGAAGACTGCACATTGTAGTCGAAATACGTATCTGTCATGGATACCAAAATTAAGTGGAATTAAATGGAAGATAACCTTTTTTGCTGTTTTATTTAGCATTCCGCTAACAACCCAATTTCATTACTTCATCAGAAATATTGTCAATCTTGATATATTGACGTCAATATAGAATGTATTGACAATCCGATTATTGTCAATAAAAGTAATCGTGTAGGGTCCACTTAAGATACGATTTCATTCGCGAGAAATTGACGGCTAAAGTCATTGTTTACAAAAGCAATTACGTCTCTTTGAAATGTCGGTAAAGGGTATCACAAACAAACAGACGTAACTCTTTAAATTTCAAAATATTGCAACTATTGGAACTATCGACATCTTTCCAGCTATTCGCGGAAAAAAAAAGTTTGCACCCACATTAGATTCGAATCTAAAGCGTTGCAGCAAAATAACAGCTTAATCTATTGTCTAACTGTCAAGTTTACGTCAACGCAACGGAAACGGATAATAATGTTGCATACAAGGTCTATTGAAACGTCAAACCGATCCGATGGGGTATTTGCGAAGCTAAACATATTTAAATTGAACTTTGAATGCATGTACGACGATTGATGATAAAGTGTTACGTCTGTTTGTCTGTGGATAAACGGTTAAAGCAAATATTAACAATATGATCCATTTATGCCTTTTTCAAATGTTGCAATGGAGACCCGCAAAATTTATTTATTTATTTATTTATTTTATGTATTTAATCTTCGATACATAAAAACATCGTACAGACAAAAATAACTTATCTACTAATTCTAAGCTTAAACACAGTTTTAGTCATACCAAAATCAAACATATTGGAAACCTCGTTGAAACGATTACAGCAGACATCCAGAGGGTTGTTCATTCCATATTCAGTACGGTGATTCGATCGGCGGAAGAACTCCGGTTGCCGCGTCACCCGAAACGGTGTGTTAAAGCGGAGTTTCTCAAGTATGTCTGCACAGTCGATATGGTCTGTCAGGACATCAAAGATGAGCATGCGTTGAAGGAATACTCGTCTGCTTGATAGTGTTGGTAGATCAATCAACATGCAACGGCTTTCATATGATGGCAGGTTCGTTCTATCTCTCCAGTGAAGGCCTCGAAGAGCATATCGAACAAAGTTCTTTTGAATTCGTTCAATCCGATTGATGTGAACTGCATGGTACGGGGCCCAGACTTGCACCCCATATTCTAAAACACTGCGTACAAGTGAGCAATACAGCGTCTTTAGACTGTACACATCTTCAAAGAATTTCGTGTTACGCTTCAAAAACCCCAGCAGAGAATACGCTTTGGCTGTTACTGAAGCGATGTGTTCGACAAACCTTAGTTTGCTGTCAACGAGAATCCCCAAATCCTTAACGGTGCTCGTACGTTTCAAGCAACAAGTTTCCATTCTGTACTCGAAAGCAATCGGTGTACGTGAACGACTGAATGTAATCACGCAACATTTCTTGATATTGGCTTCCATTCCATTCAAACTGCACCATTCCAGAAGTCCGTCGATATCCGTTTGAAGCGCACAGCAGTCTACCAGCGACGTGATTACTCGGTAAAACTTGAGGTCGTCAGCATACAAGGATTTTGGAGATTTTATCTTCATGCAGAGGTCGTTAATGAACAAAACAAACAGCAAAGGTCCCAAGATACTGCCTTGAGGCACTCCGGAATGAACCTGGAATGGAACAGAGTAGGACTCACCGACTTTCACCGAAGAACTGCGCCCTGTGAGATAAGACAGAATCCA